CACGTACAGGATGACACTGTCCAAACCGTGTAGTCAGAAGATGGTCCGGCACTGCCTTATACACTGAGGTGCCCACTCCAAACTTTCTCTGGAAACTTAAGGGTACAAACAGAAACTGATGCTGATACTGGAAGGAGCCTCTTTCTTCAGGGAAGCAGGTGAGGTGAGACATGTCACTACAGCCAGGACTGAGGCTCTGCTGATTACTCTGGCGTACAGCCTGCTTTTATTCAGTCGTTCGACAGATGTTTATTGAGCACCTGCTTACGAGCCACCAGGCACAGGTGCAGGCACAGTGCATACTGCCGTGGTGTTTGGTTCAGACCTGCACTTTCCTCAGTTCCAGAGTGTCTATTAAAGTCCTTAGTGTGCCACAGAAAAGAGGCAGGGAGACATCAGGGGCCCCAACAAATTCGTCCGGTGGGAAGGCTCTCTACCTTTCCCGGGAGGGAGATTTGCTCATTCCTCAGGTACAGCTCGGGGTGAAAGCCAGAAGCTTGCAGCAGACCTACTGGGAGCGTTCGAGGCTGAATGAGGGGCGAGTCCGGAGGCCAACTTGGGCGGCAAGGATGCTGACTGCCACAGCTGAGCATGCGTCTCAGACCAGGGCGAGGACCAGGAGACCAGGAATCCAGGAGTGAAAAGTGGGGGCGCAAAGATTCGGTGACCGGAAATGGGTCAGAAAAGGACCCAGCACGGCACATCAATGCCACCGACTAGCTTGATCAAAAGAAGAGGTGCTGCCTGGCACTCTTAAGCCAGTTCCCTCCTTGAAGGGTACCCCTGGCCTGGGGCTGAGGGAGTCACTCTCAAGGCACCACCACAGACCAGTGGGATTTTTTGTTTTATTTTGTTTGTGTTTTTTTTTAAGAATCCTAGTCCCAGTTTCCTGTCTGAAGGAGCTGGGCCGGCTAAACCAGACACAAGACGAGGAAACACTGATCAGTCCTTTGATGGGGAATCTCTTACATCTCAGAGGAGAAAGGAAACATTGACAGTGATGGTTTGGGCTCTGGGGTGAGGTGCAGGGCTGCATCAAACACACACGGAGGCTGAGAAGTCAGGAGGGAATTCTAAACGCCCACTCTTCAGAGTCTCTCACTTGGGTTCCTTAAACTGACATTAGAGAAAATTTGGTATTCTGTTAGTCATAGTCATCTTTCGGCACAGGAATGCTTCAAGAGGTATTATGGCAGCTCGTACAGGAATCGGGTCCGGAAGTACCAGAATCTTAGGGTCAAGATTAGGGACGGGGATACAGGTGCACCCATCAGAGAGGGGATGCTGGCTTCCCGTTGGGAGTGAAGGCAGTCCCTGAGGCTTCTCATGTCAGCCCTCCCCAGCTTTAAGGCTATCATAAAGGCCAAACCAAGAGCACAAACACAAAATATCTTCAATGAAATCAAGCGGCTCTGAAAGGAAAAACTCCTTTTCTGCAACCAAAATACTGCTGTCCTCCTGCTGGCATCCTATTACAGGTGGTGTTTCTTGCTCAGATCCCCAAAAGTAAATCTCCCCCATCAGGAACTTGCTAATCTCATTTACTCTTTGGCTACAGCTGTGTAGCACATTTAGGAGCTTTAAATTTAATAAAGGGAAGTTTAATATCATCATCAGCTGCGCGTAAAACTCGGTAATGCTACATTTAGTTAGGGATTCGATACAGGCTGTCTGGAGACAGTACAGAAATATGAAAGCGTGTTTGGTTGGCGAGTTTGAGAATTCATTGGAAAATTAAATTCTGGTTTTACTCTCATCTTGGCTAAGGAATCATAAAATGTCCTTAATACAATTATGCAATTTTGCAACCCNTTTCTCCACGTCCTCGCCAGCACTTGTTATCTCTTGTCTTGTTGATGACGCCATTCTGACAGGTGTGAGGCAGTACCTCATGTGGTTTTGATCTGCGTCTCCCTGACTGGTGATGTTGAGCATCTTGCCATGTCCGTGGCCACCATTTGTGTGTCTTTGGAAAACGCTTCATGCATCTTGCTCTCTCTTGTGGCAGAATTTCAAGGCTTGTTTGCCTCCTGTCCATCCTGCAATGCCCCAGGCCCAGTGCTCACAGCCTCCCTTTTGTTCTTCCAAACAAAACTTGCTAATGTTCAAGTCCTCAGGTTTGGGCCAGTGTTCCGTGTGTGCTCACGGGCCATGACCACAGCTCGCTCTCTCCGCTGCCAGTGGAGGAGCACATGGAGCTGGCCACGGAGCAGGGGCTGTGGGTGAGATGCACAGGACATAGGATGCCTGTGGGCCAGTCGGGAGACCCCCAGGCAAGGTGCTCCCAGCGGCTCATGAGCAGGCTGCTTGATGGAGGCTGTAGTGCAGTTAGCGGAATCCCTCTAATGCCCTTCGAGAGTCCTCTCTGCCACT